GAGTGAAAAAAGCAGGGTCACAAAAAGTAGTGATGGTCTGACACAAATATTCAAAAATAAATGCCCGAACAGTAGGTTATTGTCTTATAACTAAACAGCACTTTCAGATATGTATCCGTTTAATCCTATAAGGTAGGTAACTATTACCATCCCATTTTACAGATAAGGCAGTGGAGGCTGGAGAGGTAAAGAGACTGCTAGCAAGTGGCAGAGCTAGGATGTGACCCAGGCAGTCTGAGGGCAGCGTCGGATTATCACCACCCGACCTATTCTTAGGTGTCTCAGCAGACAAGTCCCACTCAACCTGAAGATGATCTGGGGGAGAGAATTTAAGATAAAATAAAAATTACCTTGCAACTATCAAAAGCTACTGCACCGCACAGAAATGTAAACTAATGGAAAAGTTCTTGCTCCCCTTTGAAAACATGCAGGTGATTCTTTATCTGAAATGACTTAAATTCGGGCCGACTAGAGCATTTGCCCCGATACCTGTAGAAGTCTCTACTGCAGTTGGAATCGTGACAATGCTGTGCAGAGGGGGAGAGAGAGGAAGATGGGCTGGCATGCCTTTGCGTGGGGGCGGTCGCCCCGTCAACCCACCAAACCCACACGCAATCAGATGCTAGTCAGACACCCTTGGAAATGGAAAAGGACATTGCAGACAACAGCCACTCCCGCTCAGGTGCCTGAAATAGACAGAAGCCGTGTAGGAAACGACGGTCCAAACCCGATTCCCTACACTCTAGGATGCCACACACGTACGTCCCCCCCCCCCCCCACAGGCTCCTTAACCCGTGTGAATCCAGTTCCCCAACTGCTGGCAAATATGTGAAGGCTGGAGAAAAATTAAGCCTCAGTGGAGTGCATGTGACCTTCTGGGAGGACTTAACGTCTCCTGGACGTCACTTTTTATTTTTAAAGTGTGGATCCGCTAGACATGGGCAATTGATTTTTTTAAAGTAGGAAAAACAACTTAATTAACATTCATCACAACCCTCTGAGGTCATTTTGACCATCGCTCCAGGGTACGGAAGGTTTATTGCTTATTGAATTCAAATTGCAGCAGACCGGATGCCATGCCGCAAGAGTTTTAGCTAATTCAGGGGCGATCATGTTTAAGGGAAGTAGTTTGCTTCTGCGGAAAACTTCCTGGTGGCTTCCAGTCATCAAACCTGGCTACAGAAGCAAGGCAGCTGTGCCGTGTAGAAAGCGCACAGCCCCTGGAGGCAGGACACTCAGGTAAACACACGGACGAGTCAGGCCATCGTTTGAGGCTCAGCAGAGAGTGAAGCCCATGCTGTGGAATATCATCAGGCACGCGGTACGGCATCTGGAGCCAGGCAGCCCAGATCTATAACCCAGCCCCACTGCTTACTGTCTACGATCCTGGGTAAATTCACCTCCATGGCCCTTCGTCTCTTCCTCTGCGTAAAGAGGCTAGTTTTAGTGCCAACCTGGTGGGTGGCTCTGAGAATTACATGAGTTAGAATTCGTGGACCAGGTACACAGTACCGGATCCACAGTGAGTACCAGGAGAGTGTGTGATGAAGTAGACAAAACACATACAAAGGTTAAAAGAACGTAAGGTGGACGGGAGCACCGTGACGTCGCGGGCACGCCACCGGGAGTCCTCTCTAAACCAGAGCAGTGCAGACAAGGTCTCCTCATCGGTTGTAGCAGAAACCGCACCTCTATCCAGGAAGCTCAAGCAGAAATTATTCTGCGTGAATTCTCATCGCATCATTGATGTCGCTTCTGTTGACCACCCTTCACTTCTTCTCTTTCCCTCCCACTGTCTTTCCCCTCCTGTTCAGTGATAACCAGCCACCGATCGTGAAATAAAAACTGCAGTTCAGAAGAGCAGATTCGTTTTTGAAAGAACATTTCGAAGGGGAAAGAGGACCTTGGCTCTCTGATCGACTTCATTGGCTCTGTGAACAATATCAAAGAGGCGTTTCATTTTTTGCTTTGATGTAGGGGAGATTGGCCCAGTTTAAGATTTTTTTTTTTTTTTTTTTAAAGTAGGCTTCAGGCCCAGCACGGAGGCCAGTGTGGAGCCCAACACGGGGCTTGAACTCACGGCTCTGAGATCAAGACCTGAGCCGAGATCAAGAGTCAGAGGCTGAACCGACTGAGACACCCAGGTGCCCCAAATTTAAGAATTTTTTCAAAATAAGAATTAAAGTCACACCAGGATCGTTTAACGTACACGACAATTCTTAAAAGAATTACAAAGAGTAAGCAAGTGTTTTCCAAGCATGCTCCAGTGAATTTCAGCAACTTGCTGAAAATTCCCTTGCCATAGTATTTGTGTGCCCGCCCAGCTTGGGTATTTTGCATGTGTGTATCCATATATAAGATCTCTTTTTTTAACAGACACCCACATGCCCCATAAATGTTATCTGAGTACTGATCTAAATAGACCAGTACTTGTTGAAAATAAAACTGCTCTGACCAAGGCAGTTGCATAGAAAAGAGATTTCATCCTTTGAGAGCAAAGGAGAAAATATGATTTTGTCCAACAATCTGCACACAAGCAATTGTTATTACATCTAGCATTAAGGATATAATGAATTTGAGTATGATACATTTTTACGCTTAGAATTTTTATTTCTTTATTGTGTGCATAACATGTATGTCATATAAGACGGAAAATACAGGTAAAGCAAAAACATGTTTGATAAAAATTGGAATAACCATTTTGGTAGCATTCTGATGAGGAAACCCATTCCCAAATTGCATGGGCAAAGAGGACAGGGGCCTTGAAAAATATCTATTTCTGTTTCTTTCTCTTTTTTTAATTTTTTTTTAATTTTTTTTTCAACGTTTATTTATTTTTGCGACAGAGAGAGACAGAGCATGAACGGGGGAGGGGCAGAGAGAGAGGGAGACACAGAATCGGAAACAGGCTCCAGGCTCTGAGCCATCAGCCCAGAGCCCGACGCGGGGCTCGAACTCACGGACCGCGAGATCGTGACCTGGCTGAAGTCGGACGCTTAACCGACTGCGCCACCCAGGCGCCCCTCTTTCTCTTTTTTTTAATGTTTATTTATTTTTGAGAGAGAGAGAGCATGAGCAGGGGAGGGGCAGAGAGAGAGGGGGATACAGAGGATCCAGAGCGGGCTCTGTGCTGACAGCAGCAAGCATGATGTGGGGCTCGAACTCATGAACCATGAGATCATGACCTAAGCTGAAGTCAGATGCTTAACCAACTGAGCCACCCAGGTGCCCCAAATCCTTTGCTTCTTAGCTAGACTGAAGAACTCCTCCAAAGTTTTTGGTAGTGCACTTTCAAAGCAGGCCTTCCCAGATAATGGGGTGATAACCTTCCCAGTGACCTTCCCAGATAACCTTCCCAGTGACCTGCTTGGGGCAGGGTAGATATGAAGAGTGAAGCACTACAAACTCCCCTAGGTGTCAAAGACTGGGGTCTACTTCATAGCTCTTGTCCTATTCAGGCTGCTAATATTTATCAGCAGGACATATAAATTCATGCTAAGGATCCGGTTGTGTTGAATCAGACGCCCTAATGCATTTATTTTCTTCTTTCCTCCCAATGGTCAAATCCAATTTCTATGCAAATGCTTTGGTCAAAACATTCTCTCTCTCTCTCTCTCTCTCTCTCTCTCTCTCTCTCTAAGTATAAGGATTATTCTTTAACAAAAAGATTTAGAATCCCTGCTATAGATTGCATAGAATTCCTCCAGACCAGAAGTGGCTGAGTTCATTCTTATGTACTGAGACTGGGGGACTTAGTGGAATAATTTATTCCAACCTCCCAAAGACTGGCAAAATCCCCAGAAACTAAGGCAAACCTCTGGTCTACTTCCTAATGTCCCAGGGAGGAGACAGAGGTAGAGGTTCATTGATTGTAAGTAAGTTAACTGACTTACCCAATGTTATTTATCAGAAGAAATAGTGTGACCGGCCTATCAGGGAAGTTAGCTGGGGGAATGATTGGGGGCAAGTTAGTTTTCTCCAGATTCCCACAGGTCAGACAAGACCTCGTCACGAAGAATGATAAATCCCATGACACGTATGTATCTCGTTCCCACACTTTTTTCAGATGCTCCTTAGGTTAAGAGCAACTACCCCCTATGAATGCAGCCCCTTTACCCTGCTTTTTCTTCCTACTTTCCTTTTCTTCACATATTAAATATTTTTTTGTATGCATTTATGGTCTTCTCATTCCTGCTGGCAAGTAAGCTTCCCAAGGATGCTGAGTCTTTGTTCACAGCCTGTATCTCCAGTGGGAACAACACTACACACTGTAGGTGCTCAACAAACTATCTGTTCAGGGGCGCCTGGGTGGCCCAGTTGGTTAAGCGTCCGGCTCAGGTCATGATCTCACAGTTCGTGGGTTTGAGCCCCGTGTCGGGCTCTGTGCTAACAGCTCAGAGCCTGGAGCCTGCTTCGGATTCTGTCTCTCCCTCTCTCTCTCTCTCTCTCTCTCTCTCTCTCTCTCTCTCTCTGCCCCTCTACCACTCACACTCTGTCTCTCTCTCAAAAATGAACAAAGGTGAAGAAATATTAAAAAAAAAAAAAACCTATCTGTTCAATGAGTAAGTGTCAGAAACCCTCTAAGTGAATACATATTTAAAGATAACAAATATAAAGAATTAAGGGTAAGGATAAATCACCAATGGGGACAGCTTCTTTAACACACAGAGCTATCGATCGCTTCGCCACCAGATGTCCGCACATCTCAACCTCCGAGACTAAGGGAATGGGCATTTCTCACGTAAAGTTTTATCATTCTTTTTCCTTTATTTACCCTCAAAATGCACAGTTTGACGTCCAGTTTTATTTATGTCTTTGAAATAAGGGAGATGCTTCTCACTCATGGGTTTTAGCAAAGGCTTCACGTTTTACGATTGCCAATGCTTTAGACACGACCATGCTTGTCTCCAGCTATAGCAGCTTCACAAAAAGGAAGGCACTTGCCTAAGCTACCTTTGAGCTACGAGGAGCTCAGGTCAACAGGTGGCCAGGGCACTTACTGCTGGGGCAGGAGGCTTCTTTAGGGCTGGACGACATTGGCTGCGCACACAGTTGACAAAGGCAGTCTCTCCCATTGAACGTGACTCGGTCTCCGGGTGGAAACGGGCGCCTGGAGACAGAAAGACATTGCCCTCAAGGTTATTCCAGCAATTTAATTTCTTTCCCTGCTCCTTCGGCTTGCTGCCCTCCGGTGCCAATCCATTTCTTTGAGGAGCACCAGCCAAAATGTCTGAAATGCGGTCCTAACCGAGCCAGCCAGCTGGATATAGTCCAAACAAATAAACGCGCCTCGTTTTGAGAAGAAGCGAAAACGTATTGCTTCTACCGGCAACCAGACAGTAAAATGGAATAATTTACCTCTGCTCATTAGTGGAGGGATGTTCCAGCAAGTCACCTAGCCAGGTACACACACAAAACTTTTCCATTTTCCAAATGGAAAATCCTTCAAGAAGAAATATTTTAAATGCCATAAATTCCTATTCAAGCGTAAGGCCCCTCCCCAGGAGAACTGGTTACAGGTCAAACATTAACTCCTTCAGTTCCCTAGAGCTACGGGGCCATGGTGCCCAACTAGACTTTGTCCTAGACATCTGAGTGGGTGAACTGGATGTTTCCCTCCAGAGCTGGAGTGCTGGAGACCCAGTGCCTCGTGGAGAAACACAACAGTGCTGTAAATACTTGTGTAAAAACCGTTAGCTTCTAAAAATTACAAAAAAAATCTGTTAGCTTCTTTTCAGAGAGAGAATTTCCTTTTGCTTTAGACATTTATCAGTAACAGACATTTTCCAAACATGTTGCCTCTCCATGTATGTTACCAGTCTCTTCTCCTGCCAGTTCAGCAGGCAGCTAGCTTTTCAAAAACAAAAGTCATTAACAAATAGGTATATGACAGTTTCCACACCTGCTTACTTATAATCGGCAATTTGCCGATACTCTTCATTAACAGGAGTTTTCAAATGTGTGATTCTGTCAGCTAGGAAATGCAAAACTCCCAAGCAAAACGTCCCCCCACGTGTGAGTCAGGAGCAATTACTTAAGAACAAACTCCAGCTCCTTGACAGGAATATTACTTTCACAGCTGCGATCGCTCCTTTAAGTGGCCCTTCGGCTGCCTCACACTTGGTAATGAACCGTCATGCACACACAGGTAGTAAATCTGGACTCAAAACCACGCCACAGAGGTGCCCGGTGGAGAGCTGTAAGTTCTTACGCTCCCCACCCCCCCACCTCATTTTACAAGTGCTGAGCTGAGGCAGTCTCCTCCCCTCTCATGGTGTTGTGTTACTTTCCATTGTTCAGATAAGCCCCAGAGAGGTTAAGTGACTTCCCTGGATTGACCAGCTCGGGAGACTGGGCCACCGGCAGGTGCAGGTGGCATCCAACTCAGGACTTCTCTATCTTTAACAATCAAAACTGCACTCTGGTAGATGCCAGTGGGCCTATTGCGTCATTAATGAAACCTGAACAGGCCCCCAGTCGGCTCTGTGGGCGAGGCATCGGGAGTTGGGGGGCCATTTCAAAGCAAGCACAGGTTCTTTGCCTCTGATGAGGGCCAGGACTAGGGTGAGGCCAGTGAGGCGCCTGGGGCACAGGCTTTAAGGAGGTACAGGCCCCACAACGCACGGCCCTGAGCGTGAGCACCCCCTCAAACTGTGCCCCCAAGCCGCCTCTCTAGCCTCTGAGCCAAGCTTGTATTTTCAGACTTGAATCCCACCTGGATCCACGAGGGGATGCATCCGAGTCCAGGTCTCAACATGAGGCCAGGTCTTTTAAATTTGGGGCTTTGTAATTTTATAAATGATCTCCATACCTCCCCCTTCTGCCCACTGGGTCCTCTGCCCACATGGGTTCACTTCCTTCTGTGTAAACGCAAAGAGAACTGGATTTGGAGTCAGGAAACCTGAGTTCAAATCTTGCAGTGTTATCTTGGGAACGTCCGTTAAGCTCCGACACTCAGCGGCACTCATAATCAGGGACACTAATTCCTGGCTGACTTCACAGAATTGCTATGTGGGTTAAAGTTTGTAAAGGAGGCCCCTCCACTTCAGGTAGAATGTTGTCGGGTCAGCGGTAGCAGCATTGAGTAGCTGTTCACTGACTTAAATGTCCAGAGATGGGACTAACACTAATAGATGTTTTTCCTTCATCACCAAATTTAAAACAATGATCTCTCAAGGCCAGGATCGGGAGGGCTCTTAGAGTGTATCTGGGCCAGGGCCTTCCAACCTGGTGAGTTGGATGAGTACATCATACTTGGGAATCCTCCAGAAAGCACTAAGTCAGCAGGAGAGTTTGGGGGGGGGGGGCGGGGGAAGCTAGAAACAGATATTTGTAAAGAGACCTTCCCCACAGAAGAAGTCCAACGCTCATCCTAGCTTGGGGGATCACTCGGATCACGGCCTCCTATTTTATAGATGAAGCAATTGCCTTGGAAAAGTTAATTCACATAGGTCTCAAATCAGCCCAGGAAGCTGGACCAGAACTTGGGACTCAAATGCCAGGCAAGGGCTTTTAACCAGGCTGTGGGCTACAGTCTGAAAAGGGACAGGTCAAGAGGAAACTTTACTTTGGATTAAATGCAGAACAATTTTCAGCCCAATAATTCAGAATTTTAAAATTAGGATTTAAAAAAATATAATTGAGAAATGGACTGATGGCTATAAAAAGTTACAATAATAATTTCACCATGACTATTGCATCTGAATCTTAGGATTTGTCTCTGAGTATTACCTTGTTGGTTAATTATATAAAATGAAGTTTACCTTTTTTAGAGTTTACATCTGTCTGGCCTAGAAACCTGAAATGTTGAAAAACAAAGCAAATTCACCTCCTCTGAACTGTAGTTTTTAACAAAGCCACAGAACTGGACCACACAGCAGTCAGCACCACACTAAAAGGAATGGGGCTGCCCGACTAGGATCGATCCATAAAGTAGCTGACCCTTGTTGGTGACTCTCCTCGCACAGGAATCAAAGTCATCTTAAGTTCAATTATGTGTAGCATTCAACACAACACAACGATGAAACCACATTTCCCCACTCACACTTCACATACTTGCCTTCTTCTCTCTGACTGATCATTGTAACCAAGCTGGTTTGGGCAATTAAGATTTAACCTTGCCAGGTGATAGAAGCCTAGAGAACAGGGGTTGGTAAACGTTTCCGCCTGAAAGTTCAGATTGCAAATAATTTTTTAGACTCTGCAGATCCTATGGAGTCTGTCACAACTGCCCAGCTCTGACCCTGTAGCCAAACACAGCCCATCAGCAGCCATCTGGAAACAAACGGGGCTGGCTATGTCCCAATAAAACTTTATTTACAGAGACAGGTATTGGGTCTCATTTGGGACACGGGGCAGAGTTTGCCTCGCTCCGCTGTAAGGGAGACTATTTCAAACACACACACCCATACGAGCTTCTTCTTCCAAATCAGCTTTATCTTTCCGAGCAGTTATGCTATTTCCTCCTAATGTTTTCACTGCTCAAAAAGTTTCAAGACCTAGGGGTGCCTGGGTGGCTCAGTAGGTCGAGCGTCCGACTTCGGCTCAGGTCATGATCTCACAGTTCGTGGGTTCGAGCCCCGCATCATGCTCTGTGCTGACCGCTTGCCGAGAGCCTGGAGCCTGCCTCAGATTCTGTGTCTCCTTCTCTCTCTGCCCCTCCCCCGCTCACGCTTTGTCTCACTCTGTTTCTCAAAAAATAATAATAATAAATGTAAAAAAGTTTCAAGACCTAGAGCCACTTTCCAGTTGCCTTCAAGCCCCTTAAAATCAGTCCTATTATTTAGCAGAGGACATCACGGGTAAAGTTCCCCAACTAAATTACTTTTTTGACTAAGACTGATAAAATAATAGGAAGATTTTTAAAAAAAACTTTAAGGATGCATCAGAAAAAGAGTATGTCAAGACAGTACAACTCCAGACAAGAGGCGTATATCCCAGGCCCGAAGAGCAGAACCCAGCGCTTCTCCGTTAGGGGAGCCCCCACTTACTTGCAGATAGTACACGCAAAGCAGTTGGGATGATAGGTCTTGCCCAGGGCAGTGACCACCTCTCCTTCCACGAACTCCCCACAGCCATGGCAGCGTGTCCCATACATCCTCTGGTAGTCCAGGGTGCAGAGATACTCGCCGTTCTTTATGAAGAAGCCCCCTTGTGCCAGGTCACAGCCGCACACTGTGGAAAGACAAGTTCACATTTGGTCATCGTCTGCCACGCTGCCGGGCAGCAAATGCCTTCCACTGCGTGCTGCGAACTTACTCCATGATCTCAGTGGGCTGGGGTGAGGGGAGGGGACTGGTACAAAGAGCTATTTATTGTGGGGCTCTGAGTTCTCTCTTGCCTCCTTCCCATTTCGTATCCCTCCTTTCGGGAGGGATGGAATATCTCATACGAGTAAAATTCATTGGCTGGGTCTCAACGACTTGTGCGGTATGTCTAAGATTCAGAGATAATCCGTCTCTGATGGAAAGATGCCGTTGGTTCAGGCTGTCTCGAATAGGAACAAAGGTATCTCTGGCAGAGTGATTTAGGAAAGGGACCCACTGCTGGCCCACACAACTGTTTGCTTTGGGCCAAGACGATTACTGGGCTGAGTAATAAATTCCCACCATACCAAAAGCAGCAGCAGAAATGTCTGAGTCCATTTTTTCACACTCTGGAAATACTTTTGCCACAGCTATGAATAATTTGGACGTTTAATTTTCTCTTTGTGCGGTAAATAGGATAAGTCGATTGTTTATATATTATAGGGAGAGATAAAAATGAACAGGCAAAAGGGGGAAGAAAAGGGAACATGTCCAAGATAAAACCGTCGTTCAGGACCTCAGTACACGCAAAAGGGAATGCTTTACTGCGTCCGGATTTTGGTGTCTCTTGCGCAGCTGTGGACCACGGACACGGTGCAGAGAAGCAGGTCCCCGGGTGCCAGGGGCTTGGGCGTGGCCTACGTGTTGAGACAAGACCAGAAGAGGGCACGGCCACTTGTCCAAAAATAAAGCCCAAGGCTGACCCAGAGAGTAAAGAGTTTGCACTGTCAAAGGCCTGGGAAGCAACAGCCATGGCCGGGAACCTCCAGTCTCAACCTCTTGATGCCCAGGGTTGGGTGACTCCATACAGTTAAGGGCCTTAGGCAAAGAATCCCGGATTCTTCCTGATACTTCCTGCAAGCAGCTGGAATAGGCACCCAGTGGGCAGGGAGAAGGGGAGCTCCACCACTAAACTTGCTTTCCTCAGAATCCTGCTGGAACACCTGCAGTGTTCCTCTAATTAGTTCCCGTGACTCATCAATGCCTCCGGACGACCTAGTGCTGAGCACAGTGAGGTTCTGCCCGAATATGGTGCCTACTCTCCCACCCCTCCGGTAGCAATCTTTCCTACTCCGAGCCATTAGAGATTTTCAAGGTGACACAGAAGCCACAAAGAAGCTTTCCGCTGTGGAATCATCAGCCTTTGTTTACATCAACACTCCACAGCTCCGACCTCTTTCTTTGCAGTTTATAATCAAGTAACCCAAGCTGATGGCCTGAGTCCATCATGCCTGAAAATGACCACCCCTATAAATATGACTCTGGTCACATTACCTGGAAAACAGCTCGTTCACCACCTGCTGCCTCCTCTGCCCTGCCAGTGCCCCCACTGTTCACACACCTGCTTCTTCCTTAACAAACGGGTCCTCCGGGTGGGAGGAGCTCAGGGATGGACTGACTGCACTCTGACCGCCAATTCCTTCAACGGCAACAAACACAATCCTGGGGTTCACGGAACGCCCCAGAGAGGTTTCTTCAATATCGCTCTACGTACATATCTTTTTTTCCCCCAAGATGACAGAGCATTTTATGGTAAGAGTCCTCATCTTCACTCCTTTTGATTCTTCTTCAGGAATCTTCAACCGTGGTATCTAAGGTATTACTAGGAACATAGTGAATTCACTTGAATCCGGCATCAAACTTGGCAAGCTCCCCGTGATGTCACTCCTCAGCGGCATCAGCAGTTTTGATGACTCTCTTGCTCTTGCAAACGTGGGTATTTCTTAAAGCCATGAGAAGTGACAAAATAATGATTTTGACCACTGGTAACTCTCTTTATTTTCCCCTCCAGTCACCTTGGGTAAGTTTAAAAATTCACAGGGGCACCTGGGTGGCTCAGTCGGTTAAGCGTCTGACTTCGGCTCAGGTCATGATCTCGCGGTCTGTGAGTTCGAGCCCCGCGTTGGGCTCTGTGCTGACAGCTCAGAGCCTGGAGCCTGCTTCTGATTCTGTGTCTTCTTCTCTCTCTGCCCCTCCCCAATTTGTGCTCTGTCTCTGTGTCTCTCAAAAAATAAATAAATGTAAAAAAATTTTTTTTAAATACAATAAAATAAAAGTTCACAGACCCTTTATAAAAAGAAAGATCTGGTGGCAACAGGGTGATCGTTATGCCAATCCAGATTGTCGAGATAGCTTCAGAGCTGCTTGTAAATGTTGTAGAAATTCACTGTATTTGGTGCAGCCTTTCTACGTCACATGGGCTTGTGAAACTGACACGGACCCTCCTTTAAAGGTCCTAGTCGATATAATCCTAATGTAGTCTTAAAAAATGACTTTGTAACTTCTGTTGAGAGTTGCCAAATTACAATTGAACTCTGAACCCCTTTGAGATTTGATATGGCCTAGTTCTTAAATTCAAAGCAGTGGCCCAAACTGGCTTATCAAATCGTGTCATTGGTTTTGGTGGTTTATACACAAGGAAACCAGCATTTGAAGAAAGGCTCACAGGCAGGGGTCATCAAAGGTCTTTACTCGCTATTCCTCCTCTGACACAGCTTCTCAGTCCCCTTAGCTAGGCCCTTAGACGCAGGTAACTGCCATGAATGCTACTTCCTTCCTCTAGAAGAAGGCCACCCTGGGAACAGATCTCATCTACTCTCATAGGCTTCAACAACGACTTTGTGCAAAGGACCAATGTCTCTATCTCTGATGTCTTCCCCAAGCCTGTAGACCCTTATTTTTTGCTGCCCAGTGGGCATGGACAGCATGCCTATCTCAAGCCTGGCATTTTATTATTATTATTTTATTTATTTATTTATTTATGGGACAGACAGAGACAGAGCATGAACAGGGGAGGGGCAGAGAGAGAGGGAGACACAGAATCGGAAACAGGCTCCAGGCTCCAAGCCATCAGCCCAGAGCCCGACGCGGGGCTCGAACTCACGGACCGTGAGATCGTGACCTGGCTGAAGTCGGACGCTTAACCGACTGCGCCACCCAGGCGCCCCAAGCCTGGCATTTTAAAAACATACTCTATGGGGCGCCTGGGTGGCTCAGTCAGCTAAGCATCCAACTTTGGCTCAGGTTATGATACCACGGTTCGTGAGTTCAAGCCCTGTGTCGGGCTCTGTGCTGACAGCCCAGAGCCTGGAGCCTGTTTCAGATTCTGTGTCTCCCTCTCTCTCTGCCCCTCGCCTGTTCATTATCTACCTCAAAAATAAATAAACATTAAAAAAAAAAAAGTCCATCCTCTTGCTTCTACGTCATCTCTCTATAACCTTCTGTTCTTCTAGTCCTTCTTTCAGTAACATGCCAGCACTGTTCATTCTCCACTCTTAATACCATAATGTTCAACTACCCCCCGAAATCCTATTTGTTTTCCCAACAAAATGTTCCTTTGAACCATTCCCTCCTCTGCCTTCTTGCTGTCACTACGGAGATTCTGGCCTTCACCAATTATAAATAATTTTATAATACAGTGTACTAGCAAACAAAACACAACACAACAGGAAACAACCAGTAGGGCAATAGTTGGTTCCACGTTAGGCAGGTTCCGCTACGCGTGGAGCCTGCTTCTCTTTCTCTCTCTCTCTGCTCCTCTCCCCTGCTCACGCTCTCTCTAAAATAACAATTAAAAAATTAAGTTAAAAAAGGAAAGAAAATAACACTTTGACAAAGGGATTCCTCTCTTTAGCCAAAAATATCCAGTGCTCGCTTCCACAGCATATATACTAACCAAAAATATCCAAAGCTTTAAGAACCCTTCCGTGTGTTTCATACTAACAGCTTAGCAAATACTTCTAACTGATGGCACAAAGCAAAACTTTCCCATCGACATGATCACAAAGTCTCCATTAGGAAGGTCAAACTTCAGTAGGATATATTTAGATCTTTAGCGTTGGGTGCTCGATTTGTCTTTGTTCTAGTTGATAGTTAACATCGGCCCAGGGAAATGTACAGATTCGTTTCATTAAAAAGGAGCCGCCAGTGAAAGAGATTACCTGCTTTTTTCTCAATGATCAATTATTTAAAACACGCCCCAGTCGAGGCCCCACTGAACCCTGCCTGCTTTGCCATCGCATGGCATGGCCACCATCAGCCAGGCGCCTTGTCGATCGTCCGCTCTTGAATTCACTGTCTGCAAACTACTGAACCCGTGAACTGGGTAAGAATATGTATGTCCAAGCAATTTCATATAAAAGCCGTGAAATTAGTAACAGGCATGTTTTAAGCTCTTAAATCTTAAAAAAAAAAAAAAAAAAAAAAAGCTAACGAGAGCTGCCCGGTTTGCAAACATCCCATGGAATAGGAGGGGAACAAAGTACGGAGGTGCCAGATAAGGGGGAAAACAGAACAGTAGTTTAGAGGCATGAACGGGGCTGTGGTACCAACGACTCAACTTTCTAAAAACAGCAGTTAACATTTTATGTTACAACAGACTCATCGCAGTCACATTCCAACTGCCTGTCAAGCAGCTCACGTTGCCAAAAACTTAGAATAGGTAATACTTAAAACTCTACCCAAAGGTGGGCTTGGGGGTAAAATGCAAATGTTTTCTTCTTTTATATCAGCAGACGGAGCATCTCTGCTGGGCTACTGCTCACATGGGGGCTTTAATCAAGTCACACCAGCAAGAGAGGGAGGGTTGTTAAGCAAACGGGACCAGTGTCTTCAATGTGGTGACACAAGAATTTTACTTGGGGGCCAGGAGCCGCGGGGGTGGGGTCCTTTCTTGTCTTTTTTTTAGGGCAGGCATGGGGTTTTGGTCTGGCACTCTGCCAGCGGTCAGCCCATCACAGGCTGTGAGGGGCCCCTGTGAACTTGCCAGCATGGCTGCTGGGCCGTGGCCGTGGCCGTTCATTTCTGGTGATCAAGACCATGTGCTCCAGAAGTGCTGCTTTACCAGTAGCACTCAAAACCCTGTCCTAT